GAACATTTGGCTCTTCTTGCAAAGTATTTTGAAGACCCTAAGTTAAGGGGGTGATCGTGAGGGCACCCAGACGTAGGGGATTAGATAGATAGATAGATAGATAGATAGATAGATAGATAGATAGATAGATAGATAGATAGATAGACAGACAGACAGACAGACAGACAGACATACGGACGGACGGACGGACAGACAGACAGACGGATAGACGGACAGACAGACGGATGGACCGACAGACAGACGGACGGACAGGCAGACAGATAGACAGACGGACGGACGGATGGACGCACGGATAGATAGACGGACGGACGGATGGATGGACAGACGGATGGACGGACGGATGGATGGACAGACAGACGGACGGACGGACAGACAGATGGATGGACGGATAGACGGACGGGATGGACAGACAGACAGACAGACGGACGGACAGATGGACGGACGGACAGGTGGGCAGATGGACAGACGGACGGACGCACATACAGATGGACGGACGTACAGGCGGACAGATAGACAGACGGACGGACGCACAGACAGACGCACAGACAGGCGGACGAACGGACGGATGGATTGATGGACAGATGGAGGCACGGATGGATGGACGGATGAACAGATGGACGGACAGACAGATAGATAGATAGATAGATAGATAGATAGATAGATAGATAGATAGATAGATAGATAGATAGATAGATAGATAGATAGATAGATAGATGCTCAAAGTGGTTGCAGTGCGCAAATAAATTAATTTTGAAAACCATTGACAGTATAACCACCAGAGTTATATTTTAAAATGTGCTTTGTTCTTGAGAGCAAGAATTATCACAGAAGACCCTAAAACCTTTACCTCTTAGCCTGCATTCCATTAGGATTCCAGTGAAAACAAAGAATGATAACATATGCCAATGAATAATCTGACACTCGCCGCATATGATACTCATAACGTTGTTGGAAAGGGAGTGCGACGTTGACATGGGATAAAAACTGTGTGAATGAAATTCAAAAGGGTATTTTCGATTTTTTAGATATATATTAAATTTGAAATTTTGCCTAAACGACGATTTCATTCCCGACACCGTTCACCCTAATCCGAAAAGATAGTTCAGTGGAGTCACTCTCAGAATGCTTTTCTCACACGACAGACTTCGGATTCAGCCTTCTGTCTGCCCTCTTGATCCTACTTTTTCATTCAGGAAACCGTGCTGGATCCGTTAGTGCGGGGAACAAGACACCTTTTCCTTGTTCGACTGATAACTTCTTTGACACAGCGGCACAATACACGTCATTTCTTTGCATTGTCGCTTAGCTTTTAACATCTCAAGGTGTTGCAGGGTACATATGGCGCCGTCGAACTTCACAGTAAATCAGATGGCAGCTGTGTCACACATTGATTTTAAACGCGGTGAGGCTCCGTCAGCAGCAGGACGAGAGGAATTTCGCGCGTTCGTTCACCCTCTCGACACGCAGCGCCGCTTGTGGCATCTGAGTGCAGTCATCACATGCGCGGCCACCCACTCTCGTACGGATTGCGCGCGCTCAGCAAACTAGGCAGTATATTTCTAGACGCTGTAGTCAGACGCCCGCTCGTGACCGATTGATGCCAAGGTTTCTGGTGTTCACACCGAGTATCTGTCGTTGCCTTCGCGTCCCCTAAAAAATAATGTGAGTGTCGCCGGAAAGTTCTTGCGTCTCTAAAAGGAGGAAAACAACAATGTCGAGCAAGTAGGTTTTTAAATTTAGGAAATGGTTTCTTGTCTTTGCATTGCTTTTGCAATCGTCCAGTTCCTGCTCGACCGTGCTTTTTTTGTCTGAAATAAATCTGAACATTTCAATGAAGCTTCGTGCTCTTTTCCTTAAAAAAAAAACTAACGTTTTATTCATTTCTTCCCAAGGTAATGTATCATTTATTGTATGGTGCTCGTGCGAAAACGCACATGTTGGATGGGTTGGGAAACCGAAATCGCATGAAAACAGACTACTTGTAGTAGTAACACATGTGCAGAAGCTCCACACACGTAGCTTTGGCTCTGCTGCCACAGAACGTTGTCGCCAAGTATAGAGGGTGTCAAAAGGGATGAAATAAGGCTAAGGGAAATTAGGAGGATAGATGAAGCCTATACAAAATGGGCACGCCCTTTGCTATTGTGGCTTTGACAAAAGAGAACTCAGGTGGGATTCCTTAACCACGGAAACGTAGCGGTTAGCATTGAAGAATACTAAAGCATTAATGAAGGGTAGCAGGTAAACTTATAAAGATACAAGATGAAGGTGGTACATGCCTATACGCGCCTACATTCGGCCATGATAACGTATTAGTTGAAAGCTTCTAGGAAGACGGGTAATCAGCAATGAGTAAGGTAATATAATACGTTTGTCATAATTCGGAGTCTCCCTGTATTTCCATACTAGTAACTAATACTTCTCGTACTCGTGTCTACTAGTTCCTTAGTAGTACTTTTCGGAACTTAGCTTCGATAATTGCCTTGTGTTCATTGTACACAATTTTTTACGTACTGTTATATACAGGTGTCAGGTGTCTGTATTTCTTAATTTTCTCCAGATGCTTTGCAAATACATGTTCTGTGTCATCGGTTCACAGTGCAATAGGGTGAGGCTACAGAACACCTTGCTGTTGGTGTGTAACCCGGTGCTGCTGCATTCATTTGCACATTCTCCTATTGTAGCATTTCTTTGCAGCAGTGAAAAGCCTTCGAAGAAGAGAGATGAAACAGTGAGCTCTGAGCTCGAACAATCCGTCATGCTTTCATTCTTTCAGGAGTCTTCACCGTATTAGACATGGCGTACAGTGTAGAAGTGCTCACTTCTTGGAAGTATTTGTTGTTGACCAAATCATTAGGTCTCGCACTCCCATTGTAGATTGGCTATGTAGCGCGAAGTTATGATAAAATGAAGAATGTGGTACTTTGGAGATTCTTTGTACTTTTAATCAGCCAAACTATATCTTCACGTCGGGTATGGCCTCACGCTCAAATCGCGTGCTATGTATTCCTCGCACTTGTTAGACAATGAATCGTCACAGACAATGCGACTGCTATACTGAGCACCGATTTTGATTCAATTCGATCAATGCTCGAATCAAATAGAACAGCTGGGTCAGAACGTTCTTTGTTTTCTAGAAAGAACCTGTTTCTGAGCAAAGTTTGTCTATGTGCAGAAACGTAGTTCAATTTGTTTGGCTTCAAGTTACAACAGTTTGCGAAATGCTATAGTGTATAAAATATTATTATAATAATATTTATTATATTATTACTGGGCCTCACTGTTGCAACGTGGGAGTGGCCTAGTGCGCGTTGAGTCGTGTACCTCAGGACTAACAGTAATGTTTCCCATGCATCCACCCATGAACACGTGTTACGCCCTTTTGTTGACAGAAAGTCGAGCGTCGCTATGAAAATAACAAAATTACTCTGGAATCATAGTTTGCGGTATATATTTTATTGTGCAATAATCTAAAAGTACAATAATAATAAATATTATTAAAGTACAATAATAATCAATAACAAGGTGGTGCTGAACAACGTAAATTAAAGAAACCAATACATTCACACAGTTAAAAGGCGTAAGTGCATTATTAACACAGTTTCCAACAAATATCGAGTTAAAAGAGTTACAACGCTAAGTAATTTATTTATTTATTTTATATTCAAATACTGCCGATCACTAATGAATTGTTCAGGGGTGGGATTAAATTCGTACATGAATGTATAGAAGTAATACGAACAACAAAATATGCGCTCTATATAATAAAAATTTACACACATAAACAAAATTTTACACTCTAAATTTCGACAAAGTAAGCAATTAAGTATCATCGTTTGGCATAAAAGAAATAAATATCCACAAAAAAGGTCTCGAAAAACACTGTAAAGTCATCTCTCGTGCATACGTAATAAAGAGAAAACAAGACCACAGTTCGTGAGAACATAAATTTGACATCAGAAGAAAATAATTACCAACAGTATCACGATGTTTCAGATATCTTCACAAAGCCATTAGTGATGTATGTCTACTTCGAAAGAACCTGTACCTTGGTCAAAAGCTTTCAGTATATGAAATAGTAAATATTTATTACACGTAGGAAACGTGTACTACTTCGCGTACGGCAGCCCGCATATTGAAAAAGTTCTATATGCCACAAACTCTGAGGGTTTTTCACAGGGTCAAGTTTCAGGAACTGTCACAAATCACCTTGCCCAAAAATACACAGGCGTTATATAGACAACAAGCTCTTTGAGGTAGCGTAGTAAAATTAAGTATTAATTTAAGTCTAGTGGTCACGGTGCTTGACTGATGACCCGCAGGTCGCGAGATCGAATCCCAGCCGTGATGGCCGCAGGCGAAAATGTTCGAGGCCCATGTGCTTGAATTTAGGGGCACGTTAAAGAACACCAGATGTTCGAAATTTCCGGAGCCTTCCACCAGTGTCTTTCATAATCGTATCTTGGTTTTGGAACGTAAGATCGCAGATGGTATTATTAAATATAAATATGTGTGCTTAAGCTGTTCACCCTCGCCTTTCAATTTAAAACGCACATAACAAAGTTGATCGTACCTTAGCCATGGTAGACAAGAAAATCTTCTTTGATTTCCTTTTCCATCCGCAAATTGTTTTACAGCCGAATCGATGTCAGGAATTCTAATAGGTTTATTTTAAACTGTAAGACGTCCGTAAATATACCTTCACTTCAAGGTTGTTATAAAAATCACGTGAGTCCTATAATAATTGTTGTTGGGGGTTTAACATCACACAACCACGACATGGTTATGAGAAATGCCGTACTGGAGGGCTCCTCAAATATGGACCAGCTGGAGTTCTGTAACGTGCATTTAAATCTAAGTACACGGGCTTCAATATATTACTGTCATCGAAAACGCACCCGTCGCGGCCGGCATTTTTTTCCCGCCATTACTTATTAACAATACAGTGATAAATATTGAAGTTAAAAAATTGTGAGCGGTGCGAAGAAACAGTCGAGCCTCCTCCTAATACTTTCTTCTCTTTCCCACCCCATCATTCCATTCTACTCGGCTATGATATGCTTTACTCTCTCTCCTCCTAGTTTCCTCCTCCTCACCCACACGTAATTCCTGCTAACCCTCACTTCTCTTTCTGACCCATTGCTATACTGTACAAGGCAATACTATGATTTGCCCTCTCCCCATCTGTCCCTCACCCTCACATACCTCTCCTCACTGACTTCCCTTTCCCACCACCCTGGTATACTATACTACGCTTGGCTATGATATGCGAGGAGCAGCTTGGCACGTACTTCTCTATCCCACCCCTTGCTCTGTGCTACACTTTAGGTTTATGGTGTGGTTTACCTTATTACTTCTCTCCTTGTCCTCCTTCTTATTATCTTCCGCACCCTATCGTCAGTCCTCCTCACCCTAACTTTCCTTTCCCACTCATACCAAGACTATACTATACAAGGTTATGAACAGTTTTGCCCTATCCCATCTTCCTCTCCTCCTTAACCTTCGCATAACTCCTTATTCTCGCATTCTCCCATTCCACCCCCCCCCCCCTTCCATCTTTGGTATTTTGTAAGATGCATGGCTGTCCTGTAACGCTCATTGCCTTTTTGTGAAAATGGCCTTTTAACTATTTTGTACGCTATGTATACACATAAACCTCATTTGTAATAAATACCAGGAAAGAAAAAAGAAGAGCTGTTTTACACATATCCGGTGCATACCCACTCAGTTTCGCGCGGGCGCATGAAAGAATAAACTTTGTCTTGCGGTTTCCTTCAGGCGAGGATAGGGGAAGAAGGAATTAACTGATGTCCCGTCCTACCTTCCGTCGGTGATGGCGTACTGGAAATTTTCCAAGCTTAAACAGTTGCGCTTGTAAAAGACTTCTCGAAATCAATCATAGCCATGACACAGATATTGCCTCATCAATGTTATTATTTTTCACCCTTATCCTTTAGTCTTTAAAGTACAATTCAACTTTAGTTCCACTGAAGGTACGACTTCAAGAAGAAATGATATGACGTCTGAAGACGCATATCATAGAACTGGATCTGTCTATAAAGCACGCTTTAGTCGCAGCGGTACGGACTGTTCTCTGCTTTTTAGCATACGGACGTTCACAATGTGCATTACACAGCAACATTTGAGATTCTTGTTGATATCTTTTCAGAAGTTGATTGTCTTCCATACCAGGACTTCATAGTCGGTGTAGGCATGCTCGAAGGTGCTGAACGGAATGTATATGCATTTGTGGGTCGGGTGAACCTTACCGACGATGAGCATGCCCTTGTGATAGGCACGGCCGATATAGAGCGCTTCACCCTCACAAGTAGTGCCACCCTGAACAGCGCCAGTCGGCAATGAGCCGTCGGACGCCGGTATCCAATCCAGAGAAGCTCCATCGGAGACAAGCACCTGTAAGTAGGACGTGCTGTATATAGTAGCAGTAGTAATAATCATTGTTCGGTTTTAAGATTCCAAAACCACAATATGATCATGAGAAACGCCGTAAATAGTGCTGAGTTCCGGATGATTTGACCACCTGGGGTTCTTTCACATGCACCTAAACAAGTACCCGGGCCTCAAGTATTTTTGGCCTCCATCAAAAATGTGGACACTGCTGCCGGAAATCGATCTGTGATCTGCGTGTCAGTAGTCTAGCACCTTATAGACCACCGCGGCGGGTAGCTTTGGCGGCGGCAGTAATCGGTGGTAGCGCGGTGTCGTGGTTATCGGTGATGTTGGCGTAATATGCATCATCTTAGCTAAATGCGAGAAGTAAGGCTTTCAATTAAGGCAAGAAGTTCTAGCGGTGAGGCGTGAGCGTGAAACACGGCTGTCAAAGTAAGAACCCGGCAATAGAGTGTGCCAATGTCAATGCATCATGAAGAACCATTGCCCACTTCCCCAATTTCCGCGAATTCAAATCTCAGACATACGGTGAATACATGATGTTCTATGAGTGAAATCATAATCAGGCTACCATACTGAAACGTAGCCGCCACATATTCGCCGTGCACCCTTTAACTCAGCTGAATTACTTAAAGCTTAGAGCAGAAAGCACGAAATCAGAGCTGTGAAAGTAAACACAGTAACTCTTGAAGACGCAGCGCACAGATGGATACAGAACACGCACACATAAAAGAGGAAAACAGTATCGCGGTACTGCAACTGATGAACGTCTTGCAACCCTCGTTTCTACCCCAAAGACCCGTGTGATATAAAAAAAAAACATATGTATACATACCTGATAGTCTTCGTAACTGTGTTCGCATGAGCCGTAAGCGACGTAACAGACGCCGCGGGAAGGCACAACTTTTCCCGGTATGACGTCGCCACCGTGCACAGCACGCCCCACGAACGTCTCCTCTCCTTGCAGGTCCGTGCCTCCAGACACAGCGTTGTGCGGTAAGTGCACACCGCGGCAATGAACCCAATGACACAGAGACTTGTACATGGTCACTGCGAAGCATTTAGGGCAACCATCTTGGAAACCGTTGTTTGGACTTCAAATATTAACGGGTCTGGCAGGAGCTATTCTGCCCAACGTAACTTAATTCAGCCTGTTAGGTACACTTACTAAAATGGTCACACTTGGCGGATAAATATACCTGATTATACACTCTGAGTAATGGTCGTAATATCGCGCAGCCTGATACTGATGCAGCTTTTGTGCGTTGATAACAGAGAAAAAATACAGAGAAATAGTCACGGCGTGGGTATAGGATCCATGTGCACAAGGCTTGTTATGCCAAGTGCAATGAGCTAAAATCATGGGTTTGTCACAGCGACATGGCCCAAATTTGCGCTAATTTCTCAACGATAATAAGCAAAGGTGACGTTAGTACAGTTTTGTAGTTATCATCAAAATATATTTAATTCTGCGTTGGTAACGGGCGTGTGCACTCGCATTATGCGGCCTCTTCTCTCATTGAATGTCATTTTTGATCATGTTTCATGCGAATTGAATGCCACAAAGACAGATGAGAAAACCTACCTTCGTATCCAGCCATGACTGCTGCTTTAGGGAGCAATCTCAGCCTTAAAGCATTTCCTGAGGAATGCACTGACTTCTATGAACAGGTGCAGCTGAGCTACTGAAAGCGGGCGTTAACATTAGATTGTTTCACTAAGGACGGTACATTCACATAGGTTCAATGCACGCTACACCGTCTTGTAAGTTCGCTGCACTTTGCTTGGAAGGAGTAAAAATCACGTACTGCGAAAGCGGAACTCACACGAGAACATGTGGACCATAAGTAAGCGTGTGTATATATATATATATATATATATATATATATATATATATACGGTTACAGCCATTACAGATATATATATATATATATATATATATATATATATATATATATATATATATATATATATATATATATATATATATATATATATATATATATGGCACAACGGGGGGGAGCGTTGTCAACAAGGATAAATATATTTATTTCCCAACAGTTTCGGGAGGGGTCCTCCCTTCATCAGGGGATGAGTTATACTGACATGAGCTTCCAAACTTCGTTGCTGCCGCGTCCCTCTCGCCTTGAAAAATGTTTGCGAGAGTGATAGGGAACTAGAAAAAGGAAAAAAAACAAAAAAGGGAAAGAAAAAAGACGAAAAAGAAAAAGAAGAAAGAAAAGAAAGAAAGTAAAAAAGAGGAAGAACCACTGTCAACACTGAGAACGAAGCCAACTGTCCGTCTACATATATATATATATATATATATATATATATATATATATATATATATATATATATATATATATATATATATATATATCTATGTCTCGCTCCCGGGTTACAGACATTACAGATACAGATCAGATGCTCAAAAGTGGTGGGAATGCGCGGCTCTCTTTGAGTGCAGCTGCGCGCTGTCGCCACCTCTGCGCGCCGTGGCCGTTAACATTAAAGCGTCGAAGCAAGCTATAGGCAAGGCGAAGGAAAAGGCGCAAGAAACTGCGACAAATTCTCTTTCGCTTTTCGCCTATACCGTCGGTGGTCTGAACCGCCCTCCACCCTCACCAATGGTAGCGGCTGAATCTAAGTGATCGATGGTAGCAGATGAATTAAAATGTGTGAAAGGAAGTGTAGATTTTTATATATTTTAACAGCAGAGCTTAGAAGTGTGGCAGCTTGGGCTAGTTGGTATGACATGACGATAGTTATAGCGCGAGAACAAAACGACGACACAGAGGCAATTGACTGATATGTGGGGTTTAACGTCCCAAAACCACCATATTATTATGAGAGACGCCGTAGTGGAGGGCTCCGGAAATTTCGTCCACCTGGGGTTCTTTAACGTGAACCCAAATCTGAGCATACGGGCCTACAACATTTCCGCCTCCATCGGAAATGCAGCCGCCGCAGCTGGGATTCGATCCCGTGACCTGCGGATCAGCATGTCACAGAGACAAGAAGGACACGATCATGTCCTTCTTGCGCTCGTGTATTTCGTGTCCTTCTTGTCTCTGCGTAGTCGTTTTGTTCTCACGCTATAACTATCGTCTCTTAAGCTTGTCGTTATGCTGGGCAAAGCCGACAGGATACTCGACGACTACGCACCACAGAAAGTGGTGTTGCAATCGGCGAGCCTGCCTTTGCCGCGGGCGCCGAGACGGAAGAACGGCAGCCACCGATAAGGAGGAACGCGAACACTCCCGGCTGTTTCTCATGATTTGGGAGGTGCGTGGTTGTAATTACAGCACTGCTGTCGCTTGTGTCGGCGCGGAAATGCGACATGTGGCGCCTTCGTACACCGAGGCCCCGACGCCGAGTTTCCGCCGAAGACGGACCTCGGGTGACCATGCTGTGCGTCTCTGGCTGAGAGGTCACCGACGCTTAAATCAACGCCAGATGACCAAGCACGTGTCATTGGAGTTGCCTGGCCTGCGACCACTGTTGGACAGTGTAGGTGGTCAGCCCGAGCAGCGCCACGACGGACTCGTCACATCCCGTTTGCTGGCTGCATGATTCCCCGGATGTGTGTGTGTGTGTGTGTGTGTGTGTGTGCGTGTGCGTGCGTGTGCGTGTGTGTGCGCGCGCGCGTGCGTGCGTGTGTGTGTGTGTGTGTGTGTGTGTGTGTGTGTGTGTGTGTGTATGTGTGTGTGTGGTGCCGGCATGAGCTTCCAATTGGTTACTATCGTTCATACCTTTGCAGCTTGTCTTGATGCTAACGGCCAAATTGATGTAATATTCTTAGACTACAGTAAAGCATTCGACACAGTTCCACACGATAAACTAATTATAAAGCTTCGGTTAGTTGGTATACCAGAATTATTTATCTCCTGGATCTCAGCTTATCTACTCAATCGCAACCAATATGTTCAGGTAGGAGAGAACAATTCGGCTGCCTTCCTGTGACTTCTGGCGTTCCGCAGGGGAGTGTACTAGGCCCCCTTCTGTTTTTGGTCTACATTAATGACATTGTCAATGTAATTAGCACCCCGGTACAAATTCGTTTATTTGCTGATGATTGTGTTTTGTTTAGAGATGTGACCTGTATTAGTGACCAATGTGATCTGAATACTAACTTATGCAATGTATCAAAATGGTGTGAGCAATGGGGAATGCTTCTTAATGCAAACAAATGTGTGTATCTCCCCATAACGCGCAAAAAAGTCCCATTAAACTACACATACAATTTAGCTGAAGCACCTTTACTTAAAGTAGCCTCCTATAAATACTTAGGCTTAACGTTAACAAGTACCTTATCCTGGAATTTGCACATAAATAACATCTGCTCTGCCGCTTTCCGTAAATTATGCCTTCTCCGCCACAAGCTCAAGACTGCTCCGCCTAGTGTTAAACTCCTCTCCTACTTTTCCCTAATTAGGCCTAAACTTGAGTACGCCTCCATAGTTTGGGATCCCCACACAAAAATTAACGTCCAAAACCTAGAAAGAATTCAAAGAAAAGCAGTACGATTCATATATAGTAAATTTATGTCAACCGACTCCCCCACTGCATTACTAACAGCAAATGGTATAGAACTATTACAAATTCGAAGAACAAAAAGTCGGCTACAATTTCTTTCAGACATAGTGAACCACAGGCTACCCTTAGACACCGCAGTATACGTATCCCCCTTGTTAAGCAGACCCACTCGACACCACTATCCTCATTCCCTAACGCCAATCTTCGCAAGGACTAATACTTTCCGGTACTCCTTCTTCCCACAAACAATAGATGATTGGAATAAACTAACCGAAGCATTTCCTCAACGCCCTTGACCATTTTGTATATACTCTTCTTCCATGACTTTCTTGAATGGTATTAGCACCTTGTTGTTCAATTGTTACTTTTTTTTTTAAACCATAACCCCTGTGTCTTATAGCAAAGGACTTGTGTAAGAACGCTTTGCAACATTGTTTCACTCTGTTATTTAGTGTGTTTCATGTATGCCCACCCTGCTTGGACTTTTTGTCTGCAGTATTCTATAAATAAATAAATAAATAAATAAATAAAATGACTCCAACACTGATGACCACATTGGCTGAAAATGTTCTTCGACGAGATCGTCACAACGTAGGACGACATATTCGTCTAGATGTCCACCTCGTGACGAGAAATTCTCGCTTGTGTATGTGTAGAATAAACCTCTGTAAAGCTTTCCTCATCAGTCTCTTCATGTTCTGCGTCTTCTTCCCGAGTCCCTCGGTGCCGGTAACGGCGAAGTCCCAATCCCCCCAACAACGAATAGCAGCGGTGGGATCCTGGTCAGACCTCCGGCCTCAATAACTGGTGGCAGCGGTGGTATCTTCAAAACCACAACTTGAATAGTGGGTATGTGCCAAGCAGCTCCTAGCGCAGCGTAGGCATGGACAGCATAGTACAGCAAGAGGGTGGTATAAATGAAGTGGTGGTGAGGAGGACAGATGACGTAAAAACCACGTAAAGATAACCACTTGACGTGATGCTGAAAATTGGAGCGAAGATCCCCAGTTAACCTGCTCACGTGGCATGCTTCCGTCAAATTTTCACTTGGAGTGGGGCGTAGTCAAAATTTTTTTTTTGGGGGGGGGAGGTAGTTCAGCCGTACTTAGTGTATCGTTTTCGTGTGTGCGTGGTATACATTTATATACGCTAGCAAGAGTGAAAAACTTTGAAGAGGTTTGAACCCTCTCCGAGAGGTTTGAGCCCCCTGGCATGGACTACGCATTGAGAATCACGTGTGCACTGAGGCGCCCATACCTCTTCGTCCAGATGGATTATGACTCGTGTGTGGCACATATATGGTTAGGCTAGAATTTATTTGAGAAAATAGGCTTAAACCGAACCCGTAACCCTCAGGGCGGCGCTGGGCGTCGACGACGGGCACGTATAGCAGCAGCAGTGTGTAGGTCACTGCCGTGCATCACGCGTACATCGCAGACGGTATGGCCGTCGTCCTCGCCGCTGGGAAATTGAGGGCGTCATACCTCGGTGGCATGCAACCCACCAGTACTCTGGCCTGCAATGGTATTGCGTCTTATTTTGAAAGAAATACTATTGCTTTTAGGGTTCAGCATTTGAAAAGTGCAACACGCATCACAACTTGCGATTGAAGGGAAGTTTCACAAGACTTCCTATGTGGGCTGAGTGGTAGCGCATCTTGAATGGCTTCTGTACCACAAGTAAGACTTCACTAAACAAGACACGGAAGAATGCTCACTGGAGCCGTATGTATGTATGTATATATATATATATATATATATATATATATATATATATATATATATATATATATATATATATATATATATATTTCTTCCTGCTCACAGCTGGTAATTTTTTCATCCACTTTTCTTTCTTCTTTTTCTTATTTACATTCCATTGGTTCTAACAACTTCCCCTGTACATTCCTTGGCATTACTGTCTGTTATATCTCATTAATATTGTGTTAAAACACGGAAATACGAGCCCTTAGGTATACACTTCTCTCCCTTATTTCATTGAACGAGGGTCTCGTACTGGCAGACTTGGTGTGTTTAGGTTGTATAAGAGGGACAATTAATCAGCTGCCCGCTCATAATAAGTTCACGTGCTACGTGACGCCAAACATGCGAATAAGAGTGTTTTCACACTC